TTATATTAGTAACAAAGCAAAAATTTTCTTTCAATCTCCCTTATATGGGGAAAAAGGAGATTAGCTATTTTTTTTCAGCCTTCACTTCCCCAGGGTTTCATATTCTCAAAATACCAAAAAAATACTGAGTGATTCACCACCTTTACATGAGTCCAGTGTTAAAGGTACGAGCACCCAATGTTATTTTCCATTACTCAGGCAGCAACAGAAGCATGGGAAAGGGTTGAAAAGATTAGTATTAGATTGTAAATATTTTCTTTGGAAAATCACAGTTTCTCATGTTTACTCAGATTGAGTGTCCTGAAGCACCAACGTTAGGCTCAGTACTGTTTTGTCTTGTTGAGAATCTATTATGTGCCAAGCTTTGTCACTTTCAGACTGTGAACTCAAGAACGTGGACTGTTACTCATTTCTGGATCCACAGCATTTAGCACAAACACACAGAAATAAAACTAAACTGGGAATGTAGCATACAAAGGGAGTGATTTATTCTTTTCACTGGGGTTGGGCATGAATGGGGTTGTTACAGAATATGTGCTTACAGAAGTTGCATAAGGGCAATTTTAGAAGAGTAGTAGGACATTCCAGGAGAACATAGGCATTCCAGGTAAAGTAAAAAGCACAGAAGAGTAAATTTGCCTGGATTTGTGAAGTACAAAGTTGTTGAGGGTGAAACTAGAGGATTAAGAGATGAACAGTCCTGGAGGTAGGATGGAACCAAGGAAGGACTTGAAGCATCAGAGAGACTCTAGATTTGCATTTTAGAAGGATTGCTTTGGCATCACTCACCTGCAGGTAGGCTGGAAAGTAGGTGAATCTGGAGCCAGGAAGAGCCATCCATGGTAGTCCATGGAGCTCAGCTTACAGAACTGGAAGGATAAGACAAAGCTGGATCTGGAGACGCAAACTGAGAAGACCCAGCAGAATCCCTCTGCTAAAAGTTCAGTTCAGGGGCGGGTGGTGGGAATTACCTGTACATGCTTGGAAATATTCTTATGTGCAGGAAAAGAGACTTTGTCTAGATAAAGAGATTAAGAAGCAGCTGGGGTCATAAAAGTAATATGTCTCTAGGAAGCAGGTAAGGTAACAAGAGGGGAGTCCTGGGCAACACCAGCATCTGAAGGGTCAACAGAGGGAAAACATTAGGTTAGTAACTGGTAGCAGCATTCCTGAATGTTTACTTTCAGTTGTAGGAGTTAAAACCCAGGGACATCACTTTCCTAGCTGGCCCTGGCTTTCTTGAAGGCCTAACCTAGTGTTGGTGGGAAACTTTAAAATGGTGGTAGTAAAGCTTTTCTTTCAAGAAACTCCACAGCATAAATATCTAATTGCTTTCCAAAAAGGTATTTCCAAAGATATCAATGTTAGCACCTCTGTTCCCTGCTTTCTAAGTGTGACTTAGAAAATGCATTTGAAATTTTTATCTTCAACGATGTTTCCTTTTCTATTCTGTTGTCAGATGACCTTCATAGAATGCAAAGTGAACATGTTTCACTTTCATGTCAACTTGTAAACAACTCCTTTCCACCAAACCAAGACTTCAGAGTTACTTGGTCCAGAGTGGAAAGTGGGACTTCCTTTGTCCTGGCTGACTATCTGAGCTCCTCACAAAATATAATTATCAATGAACCCCGAATCTCATGGAACAAAGAGCTGAAAAACCAGAGTGACTTCTCTGTGAATCTAACAGATCTTAGTCTTTCAGACACTGGGGAATATTTATGTAATATTTCTTCAAGCAAATACACTTTACTCACTGTCTACACACTGCATGTAGGTAAGTTGCAAGTAAGTTTGGATAATGAGTTTTGGTTATAGCAGTAGAGGTTTGTGAATATCACACAGAAAGGCTAGCTTTTAAAGAATACATTAGTACTTCTCAAAATGTTACCTACAGGGATATTTCTGGTCAGGATATAGGTACCCACACCCACCTTTCAACCACACAGAAGTCCTATATTGGGGGGAAAAATACTCCTGTAGATTTCCTCTTCAAGATTTCAAGGCTTCAGAAATGAAGAGGAGTCCTATACATTTTGATGACTTCCTGGACTAAGCATCTTAAATTTCTGTTCACTTCTGTGCCCAATATGTGCCTTAGGGCCTGGTGTTTGGGGAGTGGAGGCTGCAGACACATTAGGAGCTAAAATTGAGGCCCTGCTGAATGCTGGGGAGATATGGCACTGTCTATGAACTTAGAAGAAACAGTCACCACACAATATTCGAAGCACTAAGTGTATGCCTAATTCAGCCCATTTTTGCCTCTGTGAACTGCCAAAATTCATTATCTAAAATATTTCTCATCAACCAACCACAGAATCATGAAATGTTACTCATAAAACTGACTTTATAGGTGAGCTGGATGTTCTCCCTATGCTTAAACTATCAATTTCACCTCATGGAAGACCATGGCAACTCTTTCTACCCTTTAATAAAGGTATTTGAGTCAGTGGAACATATGTTTTAGAAATATTTCTATCATCCCAGTTGTGAAAATTAGGAATAAAAGATTTGAAAGTTTGAGGATTCTACATAGTGAGATTTGGAGAATAAGAGCACAGAGTTGTCCCTAGGTAATGTAGTCTTCGAATAGAAGCTTCCAGACACTGAGTGATAGCACTCCCTTTTGTAGAGCTGCCACTTGGAGAGTATAGAATGAAAAACTTGGGATGCATTTGAAGCTCCTATTTTTCTCCAAAATATAAGAGTGTCAGTTTTATGTAAAATACACTGTTAAGCCTACAGTCTATTTTTAAAACTGTTGCCTCATGTTGCATTCATTTTGGAATGTAAAAAAATAATCAGGAAGAAATGTCCTAAGGACCACA